AATCGGCGGGATAGAACATTGTTGACGGTAATGTAACATCAATGTGACAGATGCACTGGAAATTGACCCTCGAACCGTGGCGTCAAAATGTCACCAAGAAATCCAAATAAAATGGTACAACCAGCGAAGATCTCTATCATCATCCTTAGTTAGTCAGCGAGGTGAAAAATGCGCTTTGGATAACTTATTTCGTGATTATGTAATAAGCTTTTACTCCGATCGGAGCCCTGAGCTTACAACAAGACTATGTAGCCCTGGTCAATGCGAAGCTCTGGGTATACTTTAATTTTCGGTAGCGTGCTCCTAGCCGAGGTGATGGCCAGCGGCGTTTCAAGTAGGACTGTCTTCTACAAGGGGGTTCGAAGATAAGCAATTTTCTTATGTGGTCCAGAGAGGGAGGGGCGTCAGATGCTCCGAAAAAAAAAAAAAATAGTATGGATTTTGAAAAGTCGTTTCTACGGCCTGGATTTTGCAATTTCCTCGTGGAATATTTGATGCGTCGAAGTCGCTTTACCGATTGAAAGACGTCGTGATCCTTCAGCGAATATAAGGTGCGAACTTAATTGATAGCCTCCGGCTGAACTTGGATCTGTAAGCCCTGTTAGTGTCAGGTTACAGCCTAAGAATTGAAGTCCAACACGCCGTAATCTCCGGGACGCTCAAACATGTCATTTGGCATGCCGTGGAGAAGAACTTTGTTACGGTCCGCTCGTTTCGCGGTATTATTGACACGACGCATCAAGCTCCCTCTGGAGCAATGTTGCCAACACATCATCTGTTCGGCGGACTCATTTGGTGGCGGATTTCATCGGTACCAGCACCAAGGCTCAAGAATTCGTCAAATTCGTCCACAATGCTGACGCTGTGCCACTGCTGTCGCAGAGGACCCACTTTACTGGAATGCCGAATTCTTGTGCTTCATCCAACAGTGCTTGGACTCATATATATATCTTAGATTATATCATATTCACACATTGTCTAGGTACTGTCCAGTACATTCACGACGTACTGAGATTATATCATATTCACACATTGTCTAGTTTCTAACAGTTCCCAAATTGGGATGTCATGAGGGACTCCCACGTGAGGTCCAAATAAGGAAATTTATTACGTGCGATAGGCCGGAAGATGCCGCCGGGGTTGAAAAAATAAGCAAACACCTTTAGAGTCGCCTCAGAATAACCTAATATCGCCCCCAATTGCTTCATAGTACCACCAAGATCGTCTACCAACTCAATTGTAATTTTCCTGTGACCTTGTTCAAGGACATCACATACAATTCTCCAGGCCGGGAGTTTGAAGCCGAAATCGTTAGTTGGCAACTCAAAAAATGCTAGCCCCCGGAATTCGACGAATTGAACGCGTTTGAAAGGCTTCCACCATTGTATATGCCAAACTTGGTACTATCCGACTCGATAGGGTGCTCCTCATCAGGAAAAACCAAAATGCTATGATAGCTATAAGGGGAACTATATGGGTCTATGAATGTCTATACAACTGTCTTGGGTTCCTATGTTTGTCTAAGGTGAACTATGATGGTCTATAAATTTTGCCACCTGCTAAGAGCGTCTATGAGTAAATATCAATATCGTTAAATATTAACATCATCTATAAGTGTCTATGAGGAACTTGACTTTCAACTGCAGACGTCGAACTACCAGACTGTGAACGTCGGACGGAATATCATCGTTCTGGCTTCTATCTAAGTATGCGAAAAGAAAATTCCAAGCTTGAGTTGCATCATAGCTTTTTGCTTCCAAACTATGACTAATGTGCACGGCTCAGTTTAGTGCCGGCCAAAATATGAATACGACAAAATATATTTTGAATATATTCGAATACATACAAATACGATACGGCCGCCTGGCCTCCATCAGTATGAATACAGGTGAATATGAATACGATACGATATGAATATGATACAATACGGGGGTCGGCGTATTCAAATATATTTAGATACAGCGACCAACGAAAGTCCGGGTTCGGCCATCATACGCCATTCTTTGATTGTTGGCGGCAACTTCGCGTAGTGTCGCGTAGGCTACGGATGGGTGGAACGGATCAGGTTGCTGCATAGTAGCGGACTTCAAATCACATCAAGGCAAATCAAAAGCAAAACAAAAGCATCCTTCTTCCGTCACCGTGGACATAAGATGGCTACCCCGCCGCCGACTTCGGTAGACCAAGATCTGAAAAAATTGCTCACGGTCATCGGCACTCTTCCCGCTTCTGTCTTAGTGGCCGCCGCGATGGTCCTCTCGCAAAATACCTTACCCTGGAATTAACCCAGGGCAACAATCCCACAGCGATTTTCCCCTTCCACGAGGAAGGCGCTTACTACGTTTTTAATAGAGAATAGGTGCGGTCAGAGTTGTCCGAAAAGCGTCCGAACGGAGCCCGAACGATGGGTCCGAACGAGTGTCCGTACAAGATGTTTTCGGATTCGTTTTCGGGTTCCAACCTTGACCGTACCTGGAACTGAGGTGTTCTTGTACAGCGGCTGTGCCCAGAGCCATTCACCGCTCCCCAGTGAGATGACCGTAATCCGCCCTCCGCCGCCTTCCCCACCACGACGCGCATCGACTCCCGCCGTGGGCGGGCTGCAGGCCATGTAAAGACTGCCACAAACTAAGTCATACGACGCCTGCGTGACGCATGACCTCGACCAAAATTCGCAATCGACCTGCATATATCTGCGACTTCTTGAAAGGCCGCTCCACACCCAGAGATGGATTTGGTCCGTCGTTGAACCTCAATATACCTTGCTGATGCGGCCACATGGGCGGGGAGGGATCGGCTGGAGGAGAACGGCACCGCTGCGGCTCATCAGATTGTGGTGGTGGATTGTCGTTTGCGGCGGATGACGCTGGCAGATTGTTGGTCGCGACGGGTGACGGATTGTCCTCTGGTGCGTTCGGGACATCGAAGGATGTGTCAGACCTCAGTTCTTCAGCAACACGCCGGCGAATTGCCATGGGGTCGAATGACTCCAAGTCAACACCAACGGTGGCTGGAAAGAGAGAAGTTTACGACTGGACCCGCCGCGCGCGCCTGAGCGGTGGGTTGAGCTGAGGACAAGCTCGTGGTATTATTAATTGATTGCGGTTGTGTGCATTGGGTGTTTTGCAGTCGCGTCGGAACGGGTGATTCATTTTGCGACCGGAGCCAAGGCGCCGCCCACCCCAGTTGGGGGTTGTAGTGTTTATTTTTTGTCCTTTTCCTTTTTCTCTTTCGACATTGAATACAGTGAAAGATGCGAAGTGGGGTACGTAGGCCGAGTCACGCTGGAAAGCGACTTGGCAGAGAGAAAAGAGACGCGTCGTCAATGCGAAAACAAAGGGTGAGCATATTCAACGCGTTGTGTATGTCCAAGGAAGAAGATTGGCACGTAGGATCATACAGGATTGGATACAGGCAAGATACAGGATCACCGGATAACCAAAACGAGGTTAAACCATGATTGCGTGAGTTAAACCAACCACGGCGTTAAGCCTTGAGCCGAAAACCAAAGGCAAGGGGAGGTCATCTTGGAGTTGAGAACAGGAGATGGATCAATACAGGTAGAGAATAACTAAGTATGTAGCAAAACAAAGCGGATTGATAGATATAACGAAAGAGCAAAACAGGATCGATAATCGTTGATTGATAGCCGGAGAGGAGCAGCCTCCGCAACAGAGACAATATTGGGTTAGTTGCACGTTGGTAACGGGGATTTCAGGGAAGATGCCGGTCGTGCTGATGTGTAAGGGAAGGGGTCACTCGTCGGATGAAGGAGGGATTGAGCACAGAGCGACGAAAGGAAGTATCTCTCAACCGCCAATGCTACCCACAACGCTGTCGACGTTGGCGCTCGCAGCAGCCGAGGGGGCACTGTACCCGTTCGGCGGCGGAGTGAAGCCAGTCTGTAACTTCTGAAGAAGCGCAAGCGCCTCATCGTGCGTCATCCGCATCCCACCAACTCCAACCCCAGTCGCATTGGCGTTGGCATTACCGGGCACCGGTGGAGACTGCAGTTGTGTTTCCTGAATCTGGGCGACCGCCGCTTTATCTGTACATCCTGTCCAATCAGTACCGCATCCCTCACACAAGACAAAAAACGGGAACCACTCACACTGACTCCTCCCCCAACTCAGCCTGATACGACTTCCCCCAATTAGAAACCCTTGCATCTTCTCGATAGCCTTCTGCGCATCGACCTTCCTCACAAACTGTACAAACCCACACCGTTTCCCCATTGGTACCTTCACATAATGAATCTCCCCGAACGGCATGAAGAACGTCTTCAGGGTATCCTCCCCAACCAGGGGAGAGAGACCACCGACGAAGACGGTGGTGTTATACGGATCTGTGCTGCTAAGCTGCACCCAGTTCGGACCGATGAGGGTCCCGAAAATCCCATGCACTTGCTGGATATGTCGCCATTCGTGGGCTTGTTGCGCGTCGATACGGCTGGAGCACCCGCCATGGGTGTGGACACACTCTGCTGCTGCTGCTTGAAGTCGTTGCCAAGGGGAGGGGTGGCTCTGGGATAACCACCGGGCACAGGGCAGATGCTGTTGATGCTGGATGCAGACGCAGTCACCGAGGTCTTGGACTTTGGCGTTGCGGGGGAGATGCGCACTATCGTCATGGTCACCACCGGAGAAAAAAGATTCTTTCAAGACGTACTTACTCGGTCGCGAAAGACAGTACAGCCCATGCATCTCAACGAGCGCGCGCTGCTGGTCCGCCTCCTCCCCAAATCTGTGCGTGTGGTTAGGGCGTATCCATGCAATCCAATGAAATTGAAGGAGCTCAACTTAAGTTAATGCCGGTCTGAACCACATTAGGACTCAAGTCCTGCCGAACTTAAGTTCTGCTCGGCATGCAATCAGCCTGTACATGTGAGGACCACACCCCTGGAACTTAAGTCCTGTACCACTCAGGTCCTGCAACACTTAAGTCCCCAAGCACTTAAGTGCTGCCCAAACACTTGAGTTCTGTCCAAACACCAAAAACAAATCCCCCAATGGGATTTGAACACAAGACCTTCTGACTTTTTACCGGCAGAAGACAAATGGGTTTACCACTATACCAAGAAGGATATAGTATCTTGAACACATGGATACAATATTAGCCCTATAATGGCCTAAACCTTCTCCACTTTCTTTATTCTCCCTCTTCATGTCTTGTGGCCAAACCACTATCCATAGATGATTTAGAGATTGATCTGTTGCAATAAATTAATCTATATAAAAAACATGATGAAAGATGACTGGAAATGACAAGTGTATCAATACATATGCAGTACTTACCATGGTGGAAAGAGGGCATGAAAGACATCTAATCACAGTCTGATTGACGCGCTCGGGTCAAGTGAAGTTCCAAAATGTTCTTCCAGTCCACACTTTTTGGCCTCCCAAGCAGGATGAAAGTCCATAAAGAGGGAGTGGAGAGGGCGATGTTGGCCCAGGAACGACACACATTTCGGAGCGAGAATGGGGCGTCGTTTTTGGACCGACGGCGTTCTCCGAGCGGAAGGCACCGCATGAATATGTCGGAGGATATCTCAAACGGTAGGCTCGCTATCGGATCAATCATGCCATTCAGCTGGGTCTGAAGATCTCTGAGGATCTTCTGATGGTGAATTATGGAGGATGAGACCTCCATGCGGGATTGAGGGAGGGCTGGAATGGGTTGAGAACTTTTCGAAACAACCTCCTGCTTTAGAAACACGTCCGAGACCTGCCCGTGATCTCCTATTTTTGAAACGCATTCGGGATTCTGGGGCGCATGTTCAGTCTGGGACACGACTAGGAAACGTGAAAGCTGCAGTACCGTCGGTCCCGTTTTTGGCATTGTCTGGAGACACAAAATGACTGCCCTCAACAAACCAGAGGGTGTTTTCGCTTTGCTGTTCTTCCCTCTACACTCCAAATAACAGCGAAATTCGCTTGCATCCTGTCGGATCCAGATGATAGATGGTTGAAATAAATGAGCGCGGGCCTCAAGCTTACCACTTGAACATCGGGGTTAGGGTCCAGAGCACGTTGAATAATAGCAACTGCATCATTCATATTCGCCGCAACAGTCGCAAAGAGTTGTTTGTCCTGCTCATTTAGCCACAGAGAAAACATAATTAAGGTATCTCAGCGAGTCCCTATTGTATCAACCTAAAAACTGGCTAGAATTCACGGGCTAATCCATACACAAGTAATGATAGAGCCAGAATTGCAGAATAATTTTATTCTCAACGATCGGGCACTTAGGCCTCCCTGGGGCAAAAACCCGTCTAGCATGCTCAGTCCATGTCCAATTGGGCAGATATTGGAGGGGAGGGAACTTGGGAATACTAGAATACATCTCATAGAGTCATAACTTGAAAATCGCGCCAGATACACTGAATTCTGTATTTCCTATCAAAAATGTGTTGGAGTGCGCTACCAAAGACAGCAATATATATAAGTAGTTATGAGTCTATGAGATGTGTTCTAGTATCTGCAAGTCCCCTCCCCTCTAATATCAGCCCGATTGGACATGAACTGAGCATGCTCCTCTGCCAAAATTCCCTTAAACTGGATTATGTGCCAGCAAAGTTTATTTTGGGGGTCCGATTAGCGGGAAAAGGGAACGGTGCCCTGCACATTTTGAAGGGGAAGGGCTTGAGCCTATAAAAAAGGCAAACGGTCAAAGTTTGAGGTCACAGCAGCTGTTCTGCTGATCACCAACAAAAAATGAACACTTTCAGGAGGCTTTTCCCGCGAGGAAAGCACCTTGATGATATGATCGAAAATCTGAAGAGACAGTGCCCTCAGGATTTCAAAGGTGAATTTCTTGAGCCTAAGGTCGAGGTAAACAGCCAAGAATTGACACCGGAACAAGTGTCCGGCCCAAAAACAAGTAAAATTGGCCATTTAAAATTGATTTCCCTGCCAGGAGAAACAACCTGGAGGATGTATCGAAATTCTGAGGCGACAGTGCCCTGTGGATTTCGAATGCGAAGAGATGGAGCCTGCGCACAAAGGAAACAGATGAGAATTAAGCTCAGAACAGCTGTTCTGGCGGAAACGATTAAAAAAGTCTCAAAAAGGAAAAAAAAAAAAAACCCCCCCGTCCGCGCCCTAAGTTCTGCAAACGGCTGTAATAAATGTATGATGTTGGCAAAAACATCCAAGTTATACAACACTAAGTTTGTCTGACCTTCCAGATTGACGGTATTATCTAATTATACTGCGGCATTAGTGAAGCTCGGGCTCATTCCCTGTGCTCCTTGGAATCCTAGCGTCGCAATTACCATGCGAACGCTGGAGCTCAACACAGAGGTGCGCAATGTGAACGGCAGCGAGGTCGCGCGCCTTGAATCGAGCGCCTTTCCTCGCCACTCCAGGGCCGCTCACTGACACCAGGCGCTTTAGATCTGGAATGCGACGTGGTGGACGGGGAGCAAGGACGGCGAGGTGCGTCTCGCCCACATAAGCGTTTCTCCGACTGAACACTGAGTCACTGACAGGACGTAACTTAGGGCGAGGAGAATGCTGGCCAGGGGCCGACGTACACGGACGGCGTGTCGGATTGCATTGGCGGGAAGGACGACTTCGTTACGATCACGGTGACCCCCGAGGCTAAGCAGGGGCCTGGTCAGTGCTGTTCTGGATTGCTCCACGAGGAAGACTGAAACTGGGTACTGTTCGATTTCGTTCAATTCGTACAACCATTTCGAATGAGTTGGGATACCACCCAAAAGAGATACACTATCCGCTGGTACTATTTGTGATACCTTCCTTTCGTTCACTCAGATCTAAGCCCGAAAGTTGCTCGGGGTGGCGGTACGAGCTCGGCAATTTCAGGAATCATGCGTTGCATTATTTTTCGCCAATAAGTATTGTCATCATCGGAGCGGTGGCAGTTAATCCCGCAAAGTGATAAATAGAAAGAGGAGCCAGAGGTGTGCTCGAGCTCCTCGCTATGCTCGTCAGAATATTGTGCATTCTGGCGACGACCATTGGTCTGCATATTGCATCCACGGCGCCAAATGTTGCGGACTTTGGCACTGAAAAACCAATTTCGACCAACAGGTTTGAACTGATGCTGAGCTCCAAGGCATTGCGCAAGGCACAGAAGGTTCTCCATCACTTTCCAACTCTTGTAACGAAAATTCAATGGTGTCACTTAGATCATTTACTGGCTTATTGCACTGACTGAAATATTCGCAATTGCAATCCAGAACGGACCGACATTGTCTCTTCCCTCATTCGACTTCTATTCCAGCTCGTCTGGCGCGCCATTTTCCCTGCTTATTGGATGTTCCCTTGTGGTCACTGGGGCGGCTCTCCGGCTTAAATGCTACAAAACTCTCGGGAGGTACTTCACATTTGAGGCCGTGATCAGCGAAGATCACCAGCTGGTGAAAAATGGGCCATACAAGTATATACGCCATCCCAGTTACACGGGCGCGGTACTCGCATATATCGGTCTGATGATCTACTACGGTAGTGATGGGACATGGTTTTGGCGATCCTTTGTTTGCGGCACTATCCTAGGCAGGACCTTTGCAGCATCCGCCACACTCGGAATGTCTCTCATCATTTGTGGGTTGCTCGGAAGGATTCCAAAGGAAGACGAAGCCCTGAAAGCTAAGTTTGGTCCGGAGTGGGATATTTGGGCAGCGGAGGTTCCTTACGTCCTGATACCCAAACTCTACTGATGCTGAATAGAGCGACAGACATATGTAGCCTTGAAAGTACATACTTATGATACAATACGAAAGTACGCTTCGCTCTGACAGGACTTGCAGAGGGCCGAGTCGATGATTCGATGAAAAAATGCTGTGCAGTCGAGCAAACAAGAAAATTCCTCATGATCCATACAGAGGGAATGTACCGGTAGAATTTCCGATTTCTGGTCTGTCACATCGCCATCGCCGAAGTTGGCGAAGAGAACTCTCTGATGAGATGGACCAGGCAAATGAGAAACATGAGAAAATAAGCAAGTTGTCGAAACTGTCGCGAACACACTGGGAAATCTGTACTTTTCAAATTTCTACAACATGCATTTGAGTTGCAGTCCTGGCCTCATTATTTAACAAGGCCACACAAGCTATAGAAACAACATATTAAATAATTGGACACCAGCGATGCAAAGGAGAACCAGAAATACTGTACTTTTTCGTTCAAACCAACCTGGGGTGTGACGCGTGACCCATTTTAGTAATTCGACATTTTGGCAGCCCCCAAATTTTTGCGTGACACCTCAAAATTTTCGTCTTTTTTGCAGCTTTTACGAAATTTGGGGACCTGCATGACGGTTCGAGGTTCGATAAAAGGCCGGGTGACGCGCGACACTAACCAAGTTGGACGCTGATAACCGCAAGTATAATCTCACCGGCTCTCATGGCCGCCGCCGACTCGGAACTCGAATCCATGTTCAACATCAAAAATCTCGGTGACATCCGCCAGCTTTGGGGCACGGAAATTACTCGAGATGCTAGGTTAAAACTTTCTTGTTACTGGGAATTCACGTGGAGGCGGAAATACAAAAGTACTCCGACTTCCCGTTCTCATCACCCACCCAATCCCCGTCCTGCAAATCTCGGCCCGCCGTGATCCCAGCCCAAATTCAGACTGATGGAATTCCCTTTCTCGGCACTGTGCAGTGATTTTTCTCTGGTTCTTTTTTTGGGGCCATCAACATTTCCCAGGCTGCCTCCTTCTGGGAAGGTCTCGGCTACCGCGGTGTGCGGCCAGTTTGCCATTGAAGAAGTGTGGTGTCGTGATTATCAGTGGATGGTGAGGACAATTGCCAAAGAGGGAGCAACAAGGCCAAAGCGGAAAATCTCGGCAGGGAGAAGCCGAAAAGTGTCTAAAGTGTTGCTTTCCGGTGGGTGGGGGGTTCGAACCAGCATTGGAAGCGAAAGCTTCCTGTACGTAAACTGGGCTGTGTTGAAACAGTGCACGATAGACCACTAGACTATCGTGCCCCCACTATGGTGCCGGTCACCTAGCTACCGCACCCTCGTGTTTGAAAATTTGCGGCCTCCTCCTCCTCGAGAGCCCCCAAAAGAGTCTCTGGGGCCACCTAACAGTTTTATTTGGGTTAGGTGTTCAG